ATTCTTTACTATACCAAAAGCCACCACTCCGCAGAAACTGTCAGTTTGCATTTTAACCTGTCCCTAAGGGACAAAGGTCCACATCAAGAATCACTATGGAAAACAGAAGCCTACTGTTATGAAGCAAGCAGGGAGCTTCCTCACAAAACTAGCAGGGAGCATGCCAAGCATGCCGTCACTTAAAAAACTGATGGCTGAAAGTAGCAGAGAATCATCTTAACAACTGAGCATTCACACTGGTTCTTTCCATAGCTGTATCTGTTCTGCAAATAAAAGTTCAATACTCTGGTTCTTTTCCTCCTTCAAAACCACCTTCCTTTCAAAGGAAAAGGAAAAAGGCAGCAGTCATACTTACAGGAACATCTGTCAGTTGCAACATTAGCTTGTGGTTAAATCTGTCAATAGTAGTCAGCCCAGAAGGGTTGTTTGCTTGTTTCAAAGGTAAGTTTCAAAACATCAATTGCCCACATAGGATAACAGACGTAAAAGTGAGAAGAAGCTTCTGCATTGATTTGGGTGATCTGCACTAAAGTGAGCATCAAGTCAGATCACCAATTCATAGCTTAAAATCATTGCACTATGGCATTTCACTGCCACCAACACACAGCATCTGTTCTGTCCTATGTTTGGCAGACTAAAAAGTAGGTAGCATAAAGATCCATTAGCATATCTCTCAGGTTCGCAACTAATTTTACACAAATCTGTGATCTATAGGCAGGATGCTCTTCCCCTTCACCCTTAGCTCATGTGTATCTTCTTGCTTTAAATTCTAATGAATAATTTGTTGATTCTTTCCCCAGAGAACTATGTATTTTCTCTTCTCCCCTAAGCTCTTCTAGCAAGATCTGAAAACTCCCTTGTTTTTTTACTAACCTAGGCACTCTTTGAAACTAAAACCCCCACAAACTGCAAAAAGCAACAACATGTGGGTCATGTGGCCTCAGCACCATAATATTTCTGCCAGTAATACAATATGTTGGATTTGTTTTGCTGCAAGAGAAATACTAAGCCTGAAACAAAACCTTGTTTTGCTTCTTACTGGTCAGGGAAAGAGTTTAACACCATTACAATGCATTTCTAATTTAGCAGCATCTAGAATGACTTTTAACAAGCAGGGAGATAGATTAACAGAATGTGAAGAAAAGCAGTATTTCCTTATCCCAAACAGACAAACTAATGACTAAAAGAGAAATTAAGTAAATCCAGAAACAAAGCAAGCAAACAAACAAAAAGGCAAGAAATATAATTAGTTATCATGTGAAAAGTGGGGAAGAGAGTTTTAAAATTTAATTTGTTAGCCACTACTATTGAGCAGTAGTCACCATTACAAACTGTAAGGAACTTGCAGTATCACTTCAAGAAAATCTGAAATACCTACAGAAACTAATAGCAGCAACTGTCCCTACCTTCTTAAATCCTATATGTAATTTCATGTCCCAGTCTCTCTCTTCACTTTTCCTACTGCAACCAGAACTGCAGTAACTTCTTAGCTGGATAGGCAAAACAAGTTTGTAACTTTCAAGATCCTGAAATCAGTGCTAATCCCTTTACCAGTCACAGGGCAGAAGAGCTCACAGCAATCAAACTGATGGCTCCTCACTGATGTACATAGCTCTATCTCACACAGAAGAACCTTGTCATGAATGACAACATTCTGGGTACTAAACAGCAACATAAAACAGAACTACCACATAAGCAGCATGTTTAACTGGCATGACAGTTTTAACTCTTGTTAAACCTCATGGGATTTAGAAGTTAGTGCCATAACATATTTAAATAAACAAATAATCTAAAACAAGTGGTTTCAAGTTAAACCAGAGCTGTACATTCCCGGAGCAGAACTGGTCAAGTACGGATGCTCAAGGACAGGTACAAGAACAAGGCAAGCACATCACTGCACTTCCCTAAACCCCACAGATCCTTGAACCTCCAAGATTTGCAGCTCTGAGATCTTCTGAGCCAGAAAGCACATTACTGTGGTTAACTGATTTTTCTCCCACAGCTAAAGCACTGCAATTTAAGACTCTTCTAACTGGAGTAAGAACTTGCTGGAATATTCAAAAGCCAGTGTGGTGCTGTAGGACACTCTGAATTCCCAAACTTGGGCCAAAGAAACTCTTACAGCAACCCAGCCCAAATCATCTCAACCCCCTGAAGTTGTACCTAGACCCAGCTGTAGTTTTTCCATGGACAAACATCAGAGGGTGTGCTGTCTCAGGTAAAATAGTCCTTTGGGTACATTTATGGAATGTTTTTCTCCCAAACCCTTCACACTGAGAAACCATAGCCTTTTTCCTCAGAAGAAACAGACCCTCACATCATCATCAAGAATTCTGATTAGCAGGAATTACAACAGGAGCTGAGGGTCATCAGGATCCTCAAATCTGATGATCATCAGGATGATCAAATTGTCAGGATTTTGTAAGTAGCTTTAAGTCATAATTTTTTTTTTTTTTTTTTTTTAATGCATTACTACAATGCCGAGCATCTTCCACAGTTTGTTCTCATCTGACACTAAAGATCCAGCACCGACCTCCCGAATTTGTTCGGGGCAGGTTTCATCTCGGACTGTCCCGACCCCGCTCCCGGGAGGCGGCAGCCCGTCCGTCCCTTCCCGTCCCGCAAAGCCGCAGCCTCTGGGACTCCAAATCGCGCATCCCGGCACGGCAAACTTGCTTCCCCCTGTCTCCAGATGCGGAGCGGGCAGCAAATCGGGCAAGCCGGGTCGCCCGGAGGCCATGGGGAGGTAACACTAACCCAGCCAAGGGGCTGCCACGGCACGGGCAGCCGGTCAGTGCGCAAGGGCCCGGCGGCGGCTCGCTCCCGGGAGCGGAGGAGGCCGGGCAGGGCCGCTTGCCCGCGGGGAGGCGCTGGGGGCAGAGCGGCCCGACCTAACGCCGCCTCGGCGGGGGCCGGGCCGGGCCGGGCCGGGCGGGAGCGGCGCTGCTCGGGGGTCTCTCCTGCCCGTCCTGCCCCGCACAGCCAGCTGTGGTTTCTTCTCGGGTGTTAGCGCTGGCGTGCTGCCCAGGATGGACGGAATTTCCTACTAAGGGACGCCGTAACCACAAAGGGAGTGACAGACCCTGCCAGGGATATCGAGGAAAAGAATGCAGTGGTGCTCATGGTTTCGGAAGAGGCCATATGGAAATAGGATTAAGCCTAGAAGTGCTTTAGGAAACCTGCACAGTGGGAAGGTTGCCCTTTGTGGGGCAGGAGGGAGAGGCATATGGAAAATAAGGGAGATGTGCCAAAAGAGACTTCCAGTTGCGGAACTGAATTAAGGGGCATAGTTTTGGAGTTTGAATACTGTGAAACAACTTATTGTTTCCTAACAATAGCAGAGGTTGTTTGTTTTTCTAAGGAGCAGGTGTTATGCTACTCTGTGAATATCTGTGTAACTTACATGCACTCTGGCCGTTATTCTCTTTGATGCAGAGACACACGCAGAAAACAAATCTGACCAGTTTCTGCACTCTGACGAACTCCAAACTCTCTCTGCTGTTGAAATACTGTAGCAAAGTCCACCTTAATACTAGATTTGCTATTTGTACGCAAGAGAACATTGCACAAGGAGACCTACATCTCTGGAACAAAAAAGTGGTGATGCTTCAGCATCTGCTTTTTGATGATAGGGAACACTGGAGACTTGATCATCCAGGAGTATTTACTGAGCAGCATTATCAAGGAGCCAAACCAAGGGAACTAAGGCAAATGCTAATGAAACATTGAAGTTGAGATTTTAATTACTTAAAGGTCAGCACATTCGAGTTTTATTAATTTAGGGGAGTTATTCTGTATTCCCACAGCAATCCGCACTCAGCTCCTATATAGATCAAAAATTCATGTTATTGTTTATTTGCTGATGCATTCAAGTGATATAACTGAACAGTATACCTGACTATTATTCCTTTTTGCAATTAGGGTCTTGGTCTTCTAACATTTTATTAACACTTCTCTGTATATTTCCTACGTTCCCATCCTTTTCAGTAGCAATAATCCTTTTGCTTTGCTGTAATCTTTGCTGTACTTTACAAAAAGCTACATTTCCTTTTAAGGCTGGAACCTCTAGTCAACATTTGTGGCTAATGGCTACACTATCACAAAACACTCGCAGGCACTCAGCAAACTAATGTATCACAACACCCCTCTGAACTGTCTTGCCCGTCAATGGTGCTGCCTCTGGGATGAGCCCATGCTGTCCCCCACATTGTACTCGGGCATCTTCTGGAAAGCAGAAATTGGCACTGCCGAAAGCAGTGCTGGGGCTGTCCGCAATGGCGCTATGTCCCACCACTTCCAGCCCGTGCCCTGTCACCGTTTGTTTACTAAGATGGGCCCACAGGTCCCTGTAACACATGTAATAGTTACTCTCCAAGTGACAAAATACTCATCGAACATCGAAGAGATGGAACCAACCTTTAGACTAAATGTTTTAAAAGGACAGTAGATTCCAAAAAGACAGCCCAGCAGCACCACCGACCCTTCCTAGAAGTAGATGAGCAGAGGATGTGCGGGTGTTAGCTGGGTCCCAGCAGCGGCGGGGAAGCAGGATGTGCGCTGCATGGCACCAGCCCCGAGGCGGGCGTGTACGGCCCGAGCCTGAGCAGGCGATGGGCCGCCGTCCCCCGCTGACAGTGCCACAGCCTCGCTCCCCGCCGCAGCCCGGGCGATCGCGGCGCCGGCCGTCCCGGCTCTGCCCTAAGGGAGAGAGGCTGCCGCTTTCCGGCGAGAAGCGGTCGCCCGTAGCTGCGAGCCCGTGCCGTGCCCGGGGCCGCCCTCTGCCCGGGGCCGGCTGCCAAAGGCGCCCCCGCCCCCGGCGTTCGCGGCTCCCCCTCCCGCCCGCAGATAACCGCGGCCCCTCGGGCGCTTCCCCACCCGCCCAGCGCGGACTCGGCCCCGGCTCGCAGCCGCTCTCCAGGCGCCAGCTCCCTCTCGTCGCCGCCGCGGCGCGGGTAAGGATGGCTCGGCAGCCCCGGGGCTTTCTGCAGGAGGCCTCTCACCAAGTCGTCGCCGGAGGCTCGGCGGGTGAGTGCGCGCGTTCCTCGTGGGCGGGAGGGCTCTGCCCGTCCCCCGCCGGCGCTCCGCCAACTTGAGGCGCGGGCGGCCGCGCCGCCTCCCCCGCTCCGCGCTGCTCGGGCGGCGGGGAACGAGCCGGCTCAGCGGCGGCTCCTCCCCCGCCGAGCGGCGCAGGCGGGCCCCGGAGGAGACCCAAGCCCGGGGGTCCCGGAGCAGCTTCTGTAACGGTGCTGGGCCCGCCGGTGGGGCAAGCGGGTGAAGGGGCGCTCCGCGGCTCCGCGGTGTATCTGCGCCACACACGCCCTGCAGCCCCGCGGGCGATAAGAGTGGCGGGCGGGCCCCTTCAACGGCAGCAGCCGCCGCTGCCCCGCAGCGCAGCCGGCCCGAAGCGCTGGAGCCGCGCTCGGGGCAGTCCACGGCCGGGATCCGCCTCCAGCGCCTGGATACGGGACAGAAAACGTAGTTGCCCTGCTCGGACGCCTTCCCCGCCACACTTTTCGTCGCTGAGTTACAGAGAAACCAATGCAGGGCTACAGTGGAAATGCGTTTCTGTGAAGTTTTTAAATACTTTTAGGGATGTCGACATTACTCGTTCATTTGTAGTCTGTACTGCAAACTAGAAATGTCAAAATCGTACACATCTGTTTAGCAATGAAAGCGTTGCTGGTCAATTTCTTCAGGTTTCTGACCTAAATCCCAGTGAAACTGAAATATTTAAATCGGCCTGAAGTGTAGGGGATTTTAACACAATATCCTGCTCTTTCAGGATATGTAAGTCTGCATATGTAAATCCTGTTAATATTTCAACTATGTAGTGTGTTTTTAAGTGATCCTTAGTGTCTATTCTAAGGTCTAAATGCTTTTTGTCATGTTTTACATGAAAGAGAAGAGCTGCGTGGTAGTGTTGCTGTGTCTTATATAACGCTTCAGTGTAATGTGCACAAGAAAAATTCTCTGTGATTGAGATCTGTGTGGCCGTGACACTCCATGTGAGCTGGCCTTCCATTCCCTCTAATTCCCCTTGTACCTCTAAATCCACTTCTATGCATTCCTGCCACCAACACACATTTGAGCAGTTTATTTTCATGCTAGTGACTCTGTATGCCCTTTGTTACCAGCTTTCTCCTTTGACAGCAAGAGATGTCGTAGCAGAAGTGGAGAAGTCTGGTGTCCCAGTGTGTTGTATGACTGCTGTCCCTGCCCTTCCAGTGTATCATATGACTGTTTATGTAGCTTTTCTGCAGCCTTTGAAATTTGGTTTTTTGGATTCAGCTTGGTACCACCCCCATCTTCCTATAGGAGAGAATGGAAAGGTTTAATCTGTCCTAGACTGTTGAAAACCCTTCATACTTGAAGGGATACTGAGGTGTTTTGCCACCAGATGTTTTGCAAGATGACCTTAGCAGTTGGCCTATACCTTAGTGATTCAGATTGATCTAATGCACTGTGTTACCATCTTCTGGCAGGAGCCTGGTTTTGTTACAGGTTCTCTTTGTGGAAGAAGAGATTGCCTAACACAACGGAAAGAAACTTGTCATTTAGATAAATGAAAAATATTTGGTAATCTGGTAGGCATCAGTCTTAGGGTGAGAGAATTTTCAAGGAGACTATTGATCTGCATGCAACACTTTTTAAAAAAAGTATAATGTGAGAGGCTTGTTGTATCTAGTCCAGAGACATAGTATTAAAGATGTTTGTAACCTTTTGTTTGATCTCCTGTCAGGCAGGCAAGTTCCTTAGCTGCGTCACTAGCCTTAAATTTGTGCAGAAATTTATATTAATTTGTTTTGAAATAAACCAGTAATTATTTATTATCTAAGTCTGAACAACACTAAAATTGTACCAGGGGATTTTTAGATGTGTGCTTGCTTCAAATGGGAGCTCAAAAGTGTGTTAAAGGGAAATGGCTGGAACTTGAAAACTTGCTTGACAGATGCTTAAAACTCAGTAGTGTTTTTTTCCCTGCTAATTTATAGAGAAAGTAGAAGGTGAAGGCTGGAGTTTTGAGCTCTTCAGTCTAATGGTTAAATTACTTTGGCAAGTGTAGATACAACATGGAAAAGGTGGAAGCAAGGAGAAAAGGATTGAGTTTGTTTCCTGACCTTAGTTTCCCAATATTACATTGACCATCCTATATTGTTTTGGCTGTCTCTGCAGGAGGACATAGGACGCTTGAAGGTGTTTTGTTCTGCTTCCTGGCCTCGAGTGTATGCCACAGGCATCCTAGAGTGACTTTGCTGTCTGTACCACAGCCTGGTATTTAGAAAGAAAAACAACCCAAAAAAAAACCCCAAACAAAACAAAATACCCCAACAAAACAAAAGCCCTCAAAAAAACCATCCCAAAAAACACCCAACCCCCAAACAGACATAAATAGTCTTAGTTAAACTGGTTTCTAAGAAAGATACTATGAGCTGCACTCTGTCAAAGCAATGGTAGGAAAGTACTGAGGTGGCTGGGAATGAATGGCACAGCCCAACAGGAGTAATTGAAGGGTCAGAAATATTGCCTGCATAAATAAAATGAGAGGTTATTTAGTACCTGCATGTCTGATGCAAAAGGATTTGATAAGAAGTAATTCTGCTAGGTTGAGTGGAAAATTGTTAGAGATAAACCTAAGCTGGCAGAACAGGAAGAAAGGGATTTTTTGGCGCATTGTGGGAGATGACAGGACTTGTTCATGGACTTAATAAAGACAGGGGAAGTGAAAGAAAGAAAGAAATCAAGTATGACCCCTATCAACAGGACTGATAAAATGGAAGATACTGGCATGCTGGAAGAAGGGGAAAGGAAAGTATTCAGTGTTTTAAGAGCAAATATATCAGCATACCATTGGCTGTCAGAGGCATTGCTAAGTTAAACTTGAACAGCTCTCTGCTGTAACTGAATTGTAAAAGTCAGGCATGACAGATCTCATGCATACTTTGTCTGTGGCAAGGAGTGCATCTGCTTTCATGTGGCTTGTAATCTGACTTCATGTGAAATGGAAAGCTCTGCTTCCTGAGAGTGAAGTAATTTTAAATATGAACAAAGTCTTACTCAGTCTTGGCTTACTTCTGCTGGCATTGTTTGCTCCCAGCTTTCAGATTCCTCAATGACAGTTAATAGCATAATTCAAAATACTTGGTTTTGTTTGTTTGCCTGGATGTATGACAATAGTGAGGAAAAGGACTTCGATTGAAATGTAATTGGGACACTTCATTAGTGAGTTCAGGCCCTTCTAGTACAGGGAACTGCAGTCATGCTCCTTTTCTCTAGTGGTTAATTAGTAAGCTAAGGCATGTGTGGAATTTATAGTAAAAAATTAAACAGAAAATCAACTCTAAACTGTAAGGACCATTGTGAAAAGAACAACTTGGGAACCTCTGATTTCCTTAGATTTATAACAATTCTTCAAAATGTTATTTGAGAAGCTCAGTCAGTGCAGGGTTCAAGTCACAAGAAGAATTGTTTCTCTAAAACACAAAGATCAAAAAATCCTTGTTTTGCCTGCCTGTATGAAAAAGGCAGAAATTAAAACAATAGTGTTGCATACAAAGTCAATGGATATTTCTTTCCTCCTAGAGAGGAACTGAATAGTGCAAATTATGTTATGTGATACCCAGAATAATTTGTCAAGACATACTTGTAACAGAGTGTTGAGTCAGTTTGAATGATGAAGTGCAAATGTCATAAACAATTATACAGATAAGTCAGGTGGCTGCATATACTTACCATGAAGATTTTAGGATGCTTCTGTTTGATATAGGTGTGTTCTTGTTTTTTTAATAACAAAAGACTGCAGATGGAAACAATTAGCTAAAACCACATGTAACATAAATGAAATTTAATTTATATTTAGTTGTATGATAGCCTCTCTTTCTTCCATACATGTACAAATAACCTATAAACATGTTAAATTTTGAAGTTAAAATTTTGAATAATTTATTTCATATATTAGTAAGTGATAAATAGGTTACTTGTTTTTCAGACTTGTAATGCTTAACCAATCTTTAAGTACTTTTTTGCTGAAAATTCAGTGTGTTTCTTTGCCTAATTCCATTTAATAAATGAACATGAGCTACAAAATTAATTACTGTAAAATGAACATGGAAAAGTCAGGAAAAAAAGAGCTTTAAAACAAAACAGTTACTTCATAGGGATAAGTCAGGCCTATCGTTTTTTTCCTCCTATTCTTCATGTTTTCATGAAACAGCAGGGTTTCTGCCTCTCTGTACTTCTCGGCTTCAATTTTTAAATATTTTTTTTAATTCTTTTTTGAAGAGTTAGGTTTCCAGCTGCATTGAAACCTAATAGGATTTGGGAGTCTAATTCGCTTAAGCTCCTTTGAAAGTCCAAACATTTTTTCTTGACTGGTGTTTTATTTCAGGAGTAGACAAAGTTGATTAACCTGGATAGCAGCAACTTTTTTGAACCAGATCTATAAGCAGGAAAGCCACTTGTCAAACTAAGACTGTCGAATGTAGATACAGTATTAAAGCCAGTGTTTGGTCTTCTTGTTGCAAGAGGCATTAGGCAGGCAAAAATATTACAAGGTACTCTAGCCAGCATAACCTGTGAAACACCTTAGGTTACTTGGTCCCTATGAATGGGAGAGAGAGTGTGATAGATGTACAGAAAGCACTTGAAACAACAGGAAAATTGTCTAATTATTCCTATCCCCCTCGCTTGTTTTTATTTTTATGACAGTTTTCTGGGAATTAAAGTTAGGAAGAGTATTCCGTGTTTCCCTTGGGTGCTTTTTTCTTTCTTTTAAGCCATGCAATGGACATTCACATGTTACTAAGATAATTGGTTAATGTTCAGAGGTAATTTCAACTAGCTAAGTGCTTAGCTACATCTTGTAACTTTCTTGACTTGAAACCATAAAATTTTTAAGTGCTTAAGCCTTCCTTTTTCCATTTCTCTGAAGTCACTTAAGGCTGAATTATTATCTGAGGCCATAGTTCATGCTTGGTGTCTTTCACTGCCTTGATTTGATATTTCAGATGTTAGTAAAGTCTCTAAATTAAAAAGCTAAGGATGGGAAGCAGTCATAAAGTAATCATTTCAAGGAAACATTCTACAAGTTAAAGTACTCCAAAGGAATGCACTGGAAGCAACCAATTAAGCCAATTTTCTCTGCTAGTCTGAGAAATTAATGGTGTTGGACTTGGAGATTTGGATGGGAGTTGCTTGGCTGGCAATATGGTGATGAGAAGTTCAGGTAAGAGAAGACCAAAATAAGGTTAAGTGTGTGTAAGCTGAGATATCAGATATCCTGAACCTCCTCCAGTATGCTTGTAGAAATTTGGAGGACATAGGAAGAGTTGGGAAGTTAGGACTTGAAAAGATTTCAATCTGTTTCTGCTCGGACAACCATCCATGCACTCTGTTTTTATGAAACCTGCTGAAAAGAGGAAGTACCTGTGCAAGGTCTGTGTAGCCCCTATTGCTTTCATCATGATACAGCTCAAAGAGGGAGTACAGTAATTGGGACAGTTTGACTTCAATGGGTCACTGGAAATAAGGAAGAGCCACCAGGGAAG